GAAGTCACCCTTGCGCTAGCTGTTGAGTTTTGAGTCACGGGTAAAAAAGTGGCGAGCTTGTGAGCGGGCAATGGAAGCTAGAAACTAGCTCCAGCACCTACTCTGGAGTAAAAATTTCATCATGGCTTTTATGAAAGACTGAGTGTTAGCAACCACCCACTTCAAAAGGTTTTCAGAGACTATAGTTTAGAGCACGTCCCTAGCATATGAGTAATCTTAATTGGTAAATGTGCTTCTGTCTTGCCGGTTGATGTCATCGTAAGACTGGCAGTGCAAGAATCTCAGTGGATGGAACTAGTATGGAAACGAGGTAAGCAAGGTAAAGTTAGCCAACATAACAGCGCCTGGGTTCTACCTATGGGCGCTTCCTTCACCACAAAGCGCTACTTCAACTTCAGAGGAGGCAGTGAAAAGGCTGTCAAAGATGCATTTCTCGAAAAATTCAGTCTCCATGACGGAAAATCGTTAAGTTGGTTGATACTGATCGGCATTTATGGGGTCCGATATCTGGTTGTGTGAAGTATTACTCGGACATACACCGGTGCTTTCTGAGAGAACTCATTTGCCACTCGGTCTAAGATGGGGATCCAATTGTGAGATAAGCTTTCCCAACATCGCTTGTAAGGTTCTATCGAATGTATTGAGTGAAGAAGCGTCTTGACTCCAAACCGGTAAATCCATAATTGACCCCTTAAAATGTGCCAAATCGATTTTGAAACAGCCTCTGATAGCCCAAAAAAAGCGATCGTGTTGGTGGCGACGTGTAGATTCGCAGCGCACAACTAAGGTAGAGAAGAGCAAAATGTATAGATAATTAGACAATCAAAAATTCTGTCATACGAGTCACTAGCGAACTCTACCGAAACTGAATATCTAAACCAGAAAGGGATTAACCAAAAAAAACTTCTGAGAATAGTTTTGAACGAGAAGTTCATCTGGTAAGCTAACACAGAAAAATATGCACGAAAAGGTTCCAAATATTAGTTACTCTTTCCTGGAGTGGCATGAAAAACGTCATCTTCAAACACAAGATACAGAGATTCGCGGAGGTTAGCGTAAGTGGTGCAATCAAAACCATGCCAAACGGCTATCAAATGTAAGGTATGCCAGTTTGTTAGACTCTCTCTGTGCATCTCTGGTTAAGCTCCCAAAAGTGTGGTCGTGGTCCAAAGACACTGAACAGGTACAAATGGTCTCCAAGTCAGGATTAATAGCCATTATGGATTATTTAATGTTACCGGCAAGAAATAATCCAAATATAAGCTGCTCTTCTATGGCCAAACTCTTAACTCGGACATGGACTATCAGAAATTGGACCATCTGAAGAAAGCAATATTCCAAAAGTGACCAGCTTTGTCTCGCAGGACATGAATTGTTTTTCATCAGAACAAGGGTAAGCCACACACATAGCTAGTGGTAGCTAGTGAGTTTGTCAGAAGCTACGAGAGATTGGTTGGGGGATTCTTATACGTCCACATTAGAGTCCAGTCCTCGCACCTGGTGATTGCTACGTGTAGCTGTCTCTGGCGAATTATTTGGTTGCCGAAGAATGGGGATCAAAAGAAGCTTATGAAAATCAGTTAACCAATTTGTTTGCCAACAAACACAAAAATGACAAAAGTTTATTAAGAGAAACCAAAGACATACATATAATTGACATAATTGGATATTACAAATAAAGCTTTCAATTGAATTCAAAAATAATGGATGATTTTCTACATTACCTAACATGTACAGTAGATGGGCTTACAGTGCGGACTGGTCATAGGGCTCGCAAAATATACCCTCTTAGAAGAGAAGGTTCCACGGATACTGGATGAACCTTTCCGCGTCAACTTGGAGTATTCCAGCCACTCGAAACCAATTCGCGCACTTCTCTTTGGTAGCAAAAGTTTCTTTAGTCCACATTTTAGCAACTCCAATAAATATTTAAATATCTCAAAGTGCTATTGCGCCACATTGAAAAATTAGTTTCTACCGTCTTTATATACTTATCGCCGCAGAGCAAGTATTGAAGCATAGACGGCACCAGCTATTGGCACCTCAATCTCACTTGGTTTAATTAAAATTTCCATTTCCGAGACAAAACCAATTTCTCAGGTAAAGTTTGAACATTTTCAGCACCAAAGTTTGTTTCGTTACCACACGATTTTTGTTGCAGCAACGCAATAGACATATCATATGTTCGCAGGAGTATGTATGTACTATGTTGATGAGTGAAAAAAGGGCCGAGTTTACTGAATTGCAGCGTTCTCAAATGCACACAACGAGAGGTATGTGTTTAAGTGTGTATAGTGTGTATATACGAAAGTATGTGGCGGTGGTGTAGAAATGATGAGACCGCAAAATCGCTAATGGCAGCAAACGGAAAATTGTAGCGCGAAAGCTGCGGCATACGCATTTCACCAACCTGCGTTTCCTTTGAATTTCCATGGTATCTTACTTGTTTAAAATATAAATTGTTATATTGTATGTGCATATGTATAGGGTTGCCCTAAAAGAAGCCGGCGATTTTTTAAAAAAATTTAAATAATATCCATATTGAGGGATTCTCTTTCGCCACGTTTCCGGTGACATCATTATTCCCCGCTCAAAGAACTTCTGGCCTTTTTCTGTAAAAAAAAAATGAAAAAACTGCGATTTTACAGCCTCGTCAATTTCGAAAGTTTTACCATTTAACGAGTTTTACAAAGATCGAAGCAAGTGCTAGTCTGACGGTGCAAGGTCAGGCCTTTATGATGGATGCATCAAAAGTTCCCAGTCAAGCTCTCTCAGTTTTTGGCGAGTAACCAAAGACGTGTGTGGTCTAGCATTGTCCAGGTGGAATATGACACTTTTATGAAGCACAAATTCTGATCTCTTCTCGTTGATGGTCGTTGAAGTCGAAACGCGAATGCAATGACTATTTGTTTGGTGACAGATATACTTCGTCTTGTCCGCGTTCACTGCAGTCTGGCGAAAGCAGCTCTCACGGCGCAGAGGTCAACTGCTGTGCATTCTTACAGAAGATTGTACCTTCTCTATTCCCGTCTGCAGTTCTTATTATGTTCTCCAGCATCAAATTGAGGAAATCACACGATAAAGGGTGGCGGTGCTCGGCTCGGACAAGTTCTTCCTAATTCTTACTGCGTACTCATCCTACCAGTTCGATTTTTGTTTGTAAACATGGAGTTCACTAACGCCGAAATTCGCGCTATTTTAAAGTTTTCCTTCGTTAAAGGCAAATCCGCTAGAGAAACATTCCGTGAGATTAATGATGTCTTGGGGGATGGTACTCTATCACTTCGAACCGCGGAGGAATGGTTTCGATGATTCAGAGCCGGTGAAAACGACACCATGGATAAGCCAGCCGGCGGAAGACCTGTGACGACAAATACCGATCAAATCATGGAATACATCGAGTTAGACCGGCATATGGCATCTCGTGACATCGCCCAGGAGATGGGAGTTAGTCACCAAACCATTTTGAACCTCTGCAGAAGGCTGGATACAAAAAAGAGTTTGATGTTTGGGTGCCCCATAATTTGACGCAAAAAAAACATTCTGGAATGAATCAACGCCTGCGATATGCTGCTGAAACGGAACGAACTCGACCCATTCTTGAAGCGGATGGTGACTGGCAACGAAAAATGGATCACATACGACAATATCAAGTGAAAACGGTCGTGGTCGAAGGCCGGTAAATCGTCCCAAACAGTGGCCAAGCCGGGATTGACGGCCAGGAAGGTTTTGCTGTGTGTTTGGTGGGATTGGAAGGGAATCATCCAGACGCTTAATTCTACCATCTACTGTGAACAACTGGACCGCTTGAAGCAGGCGATCGACCAGAAGCGTCCAGAATTGGCCAACAGGAAGGGTGTAGTGTTACACTTCGTTGATGACTCGTCAGAAGCTACGGCAGCTCGGATGGGAGGTTTTATCGCATCTACCATATAGCCCGGGCGTAGCGCGAAGTGATTACCACCTGTTCCTGTCCATGGCGAATGCCCTTGGTGGTGTGAAGTTGAACTCAAAAGAGGCCTGTGAAAAGTGGCTGTCTGAATTCATCGCAAATAAGGAGGGGGGCTTCTACGAGGAAGGTATTATGAAGTTGCCGTCTAGATGGAATTATTATATAATTTTTTTATATTTCGTTCTTTAACTTAATTTAATTTTATTTTATTTGATATAATTTATTTTATTTTATTTTCTTTCATTTTATTTTATTTAATTTTGATTTTTTAATTATTTCAATTTTTTATTATCTATTTTTTTGGGTTTATTTTTCTATACTTCGTTCTTTTATTTATTTATTTTTTGTTATTCATTTTTTTATTTTTTTTATTATTTATTTTATTTTAGCTTTTTTATTTTTTATATTTTTTATTTCATTTCGTTTCATTTCATTTCTTTTTATATATCTTATTATTATTATTGAATGAGTTTATTGTATTTAATTATATTTTATTATTATTTTTTATTCATTTCTAGTTTTTAATCAATTTTTCCTCTTTTATTTTTTTGTTATTTTATTTATATTATATTTATTTTTTTTTTTTGTTAATGTACATGGGTTTCGTAGGTACTGCATACGCTTACTAACTGCTTTTGCTACTTATGATTTCACTTGAGCCCTTGGGGTAATTCTTTGACGCTGGCTTTATGCTTGAGGTGAGTGTTAAGTAGCGCGTGAGTACTTTAATTAATGAATAGTCAGAAGGTGGTGAAAGCCACCATTCAATGATTGGAAGTAAGAAAACAGCTCTCCGAAGTATTTCACACTTGCCAAATAAACAGTTAGATATGTACATTGATTTGGTGGCATTAAATAGAATTTGCATATCATTTTTGGCCTAAAAATGGGATTTACCGCAAACTAAAGGGACAGTAATTTTGCTATAAAACCCTCTGTAAGACTGCGAACAACCAGCATTAGCACAGCGGGTGTAGCGCTGTCGAGAATATTGACAGTCGAGTGTGCCTAACGGTTGCAAAACGGATATTTCAATTTTTTAATCAAAATGTTTATTAAACTTCTGTGTGTTTTCGCAGTGACTCAGGCGCTTGTAACAGGTAACTGTATTGTATAGTAGTGTAAATAGATGTTTTTAGTCTCCAAAGATGATAATTTCATTAGCTAATTTTATTTGACATACTTACAGCTACACCAAAACAGAAAGCATCGGACGAACGCGTCAGCGCATTATTGGTTAAGGATGACACAAACGGTGAGCTACGCTTTTTGACGGGCACCAGCACCGTTAATCAGCTGATTTCACAACAGCAGGATTTACTCGAGCAATTGCGCCCAAATAGTGGTAACAACAATAACATTAGACCAATTATTATCGATTTGAATGGTGACAATACACAAACCACATCGCCTACAGTCACCAGTGGCAATGGTAACAATGGAGTTTTAGGCGCAGTAGCTTCACAAACCTCACCAATTGGTGCCCTATTGCCCCAGATCGTTGGGCAAGCTGTTGGTGGGGGCGGTAATGGTGCCTCAAGTCCTACAAGTTCATCAAGTCCATCTTCAACATCACCAACATCTGCAACAAGCAACCGACGTCGTATTGTTCGTCGTGGCAACAAACGTCGCCGAGTTAATAACAATTCAAATAACCGTCGTCGTCGACGACGCCGCCCGTCGAAGAAAAATTCCAAAAAACAATTTGTTGTTGTGCGCCCTCAACGAGGTTAATACCCTAAGAAAATCTTACTGAATATAATAAATCAAGCAAGTGATCGAATATTAATTAATTTTTTTGTTTAAGCTCCCTTAGGTTGGGTAAGGTTTTGGTTGATTGAAGCATATTTGCGAATTAGGGAGAGGCGCATTAGTATCATTAATATATCCAAAGCCGTGTCAGTCGTCAGACGGTTGGAGTTAATGCCGTTTCTAAATAATCACAGTACATTTTACGCTTTCCTTTTTTCACTTTACGCTCTGTTGCTACTGACAGCCTTATTTCCCGCCAACCGAGGTCAATTCGCTTTAATCTATTGTGAGTTCTCCAATTGTTGTTGCAGAGAATGGGGATGAGTGCTAGCTGTGCTCTGGCACAGGTAAAAAGCATCTTTGGGCACAAAGACTCTTCCAGAGAGTCAGAGATGACAGTGTGTGGGCGCAATGTTACAGAGCTTTACTTTGATGCTGAGCTTGGTAAGATGTTCATCCGCTGGGCTTCCTTAATACTAATTCTTAATGATTGAGTCTCGCTCACACTATCAATACCAAATCACAATTGTGCTCCTTTATATCGCCCGTGTGCAATCTGGTCCTATTCTACTCACTTCTAAGACGGCGATGAAGTAAGCCTTAATTTTACCGTGGACCATAGTCAGCTGGGGATTGGCGCCTTTGCTATCAAACGACCAGTCACAGGTCACCAGGTGTATACCCTTATCTCGTGTTCCTTGAAAGATTAGCAGGGGTCCTCATCTGAGGCTTATATTCACTACTTTCCATTGGACGTTTGTTAGCTACCCAGGGGATACTTGTTCTAGTGCTGAAAGTCGTCAAATATTAATTTGTGGACAAAAACTTTTTCCACTTACGTCAACTATTTAAAAAAAAAAAGAAATTCTCCATTTTAAAAAAATAATAATAAGAAATATCTTCACACACCTAATCGGCGAATTAATTATTAAATCAACGTAGACGATGATCGAGTGCCACTTTAATGAGCTGCAAAGTCACCGACAACACCAACGGCACCGACGTGAGCAATCATCAATGCAATGCAGCTGTGCAACTTTTACAAATATGCCGTTTTCCCACATATTTCCTTCGTCAGCCAGGAGATAAGCGTGGAATGTCGTTGGTAATAGTTGAACATATCTGAGCTAAACGCTCAGCAATTGACGTTGGTAGCTTGCTACGTATAGTGTTGCCACTGAGGTTGAATATTTTTCACCTAAAATATGAAAGTAAATTCTTTTTGACGGAGCTTAAATTTTTATAAATTCCTCAGAGGAAAAGAACTTGTGAGAATTTTTTTTTAATGTTTGATAGATTAAACGGAGCTTCCTACCGCTTATACTGATGCGTTAAAAGATCTCGAGAGCATTGTCGTCCATATAGATTACTTACTCATTTTGCTTTTCATACCTTTCTTGAATACGAAATGGTGAACTCATCTTTGTTGGAAGCATGTCAGTATACGAGAGAGAGAAGAAATAGACTCAACAAAATTTATACCAACCTGCAGGATTTAGTCGTGCCTGTTTGAACGGAACTTAACTAGGCCCTCAATATTTATTATAAAAGTTGGACGAGTGATTTTCAGTGGGACAATATTTCTTTCCGGAACAACGTTTTCAAATCGTGTAAATTTATTACCGAATAATAGTTCGGTTCGCCGGACGCATCGCAAACTTCATCCAATAATCGGTTGACATAATACCCCAAGGAAGAGGTAGGTAATTCGAACATTTACGGATTGCACCATTTTGCTGAAAGCTTATTCTCGGTGCCACCAACATCGAAAAAAAGTTATGAAAAATTACCTTAAAAAAAATAATAACGTTAAATTTTCTAATTGCGGTCAACCCTCGGCAGGGAAAGTCCACCCCTTCAAGTGTATTTCGGGCATGAAATAAAGGCTCCTCGTAAAACAAACCATCAGCCGTTCGGAGGCTGTGATAGAGCAGCATTCCGAAGATGACCTACTTGAGTTCAGTCGCCTTTATGGAATATTTTGCAGAACGATCTTTGTTCATGCAGGAAATGAAGCCGAACGACCATAAAGCGCGTCGCAAGTCATTGTTTCGTGTGGTCTATGGGCAGATGAAAACGTTAGTCCATATTTCCTCAAAATTAAACCGGCTATAACGGTACATACAACAGGATGGCGCTTTATGCTCTACGGCAGACAAACCAACGGAATGGGCAGTTTATTTAAGGATACTTTTTGTACTATTTTTCATAGTGTTAAGTGAAGAAGAGAATACTCGGTGCTTCTCTTGCTGACACACGGCCCAAATTGCTGCAAAATGTGGCCAAAAATTGGGGGCTCTCTGCTGGAATTAGGTAATGCAAGGTAGGTTGGGTGTTAGTTCGAAGATGATAGGGGCAACTCTAACTCAGTTGACGACTCATTAGGAGTTTCTCTTGCTTCTTACAGATATGGGGGCATCTAAAAAGAATTCCAAGTCCATTTCTTCTATAAAGCAGTGAGCAGCGTGGCAAGGCTTCTATGCTCTTCCTTATCACGGAGTCAGTTTCGCTTGACCTTTTGTGTTCTTAGTTAGGTTTGTTAGGATTCGCGGCAAGTTCTAATGCATGATATTCTCTACCGATTAGAAAAGTTGAGTTAACGTTAAATTTGTTTGTCGGTGGGGACGGAACTCAAACTTGTGACCTCTCGCATGGTAGTAAGCACGGCTAATCAAACGGCTTTTACGACCGATCTTTGGGTTTAACAATAATAACAATTGGAGAAACTTTCATGACCGATTCCCAGCTGAGATGTATGTTGTGTATCTGAAAAATTTTCCCATAGATGGAGTAACCCTTAGTTTTAAGACGTCTCGAGGGGTTAACGGACTTAAGAGTAGCTTTAATTATTATTCGGTGGAGTTGACATTACGTTCGTATTAATAAAAGAATCTCGCCTGCTTTATATCCGGAACCGTGACTTGGACGACTGCCTACTCGGTCTACGTTGTCGCCATAGTTTAATTGCAAGAAAACTACAAAAAATGCTAAGTTCTTGTGACGTGCAGTAAAGCGGGGTGAAGAAAAAAATCTGAGTTCGTCGTCTGCAATAAAATTTGTTAGAAAGTTTTCTCTTTCAAAAGCAAACAAACTGGCAACCCTACATTCAAAAGCAGTATTCGCTACAACGAAACTTTAGTTTTGGTCAGATCGCGTGGTCCGACGTTGGCGCCGCTTTGTTAAGCCATTTACTTGCTCGTTAATTCCAGTACTTAGTTGGAGTATCGATTACAGCTCACACATATACATCCATACATACATACATTGCCAGCAACCAAAACTGCAATGCAAATGCAATTTCGTTTTCTTCTCCACACATTTATAGTATTTACAACCTACAACCAACAACCAACCACCAACCACCAACAACGACAACTAAGTCACGGAGTCCAAGTCGTATAAAGTGTTGGCAACGCGTCGACAGCATTTATGAGTTGGTTGACACTAATCAAACTCAACAACCGCACAACTGCCAGTCAAGTAATCAACTTTTTACTTCGAATGTAATGTCATAACGTTGTAAATTCTGTTATGCGGCTACTTATTGACCGCACAAACACACACACACACACACACACGTGCATATGCAAAATACGAGATTTATATATGTATGTATATATTTTGAGAAAGGGAAATGTTTTTGGTAGACGTTTGTGGTTACGCCAGTTAAACGCTTCGTCTATACATATATAGCTCAACATACACATACATACATACAAATTTATATATGCACTATATAGTTAATAAATTTATGCGTCTTTACTTTGACCAATTTCCGCTGTCCGATTATGCTTTTCCGTCTTCTAGTTGGCAATTTCGAATTAACTTTCCCACAGTCAAGTTTCAAAAACTTTCAACGACTTGGTTGCTGCGGTTCTAAACTTACTCCTTCACTATTTTCATGCACTTGCATACATGCATACGTATGTATATACTCGTACTTGCATAATTCACTTTATATGGTAGTCGTTTGTAGTTATAAGCACGTCTGTATATATGTTCATCCTTTATCGTTTTTTTTTTTTGCTTTATTTGTTGTGTCCTGCCCAGTCCTGCTCACCCACAAATTTGTATACATTTTTAGAATGGATTTGATTTTAAATTCATTTGAATTATTGCTTGCTTCCTGTTTCCGGCGTCCATGTGGCACAGACAGACATACTACTTTAGTATGTGTGTCGTATATATGTATTTATGAATATAAGTGGAGGAAAGAAAAGAGGCGAGATATGATGCAAGTAGTTTTAATAAAATATATGAAAAGTTTCAATATTTTTGGCATCAGAATAATTGGTCGAACATACGAAATTTAAAGTTGGTTTATAATGTTGCTAAGAATGATTTTTTTTTACCAAAATAATTCCAACAATATCCTAATAAAATTTCCAAAAAATAATTTTAAAACACAATATTTTGCTAGACACAACATTAGCAGTACCAAGTTGCCAAGTAAAATCAAAAAAAAAAAAAAAAAAAAAAAAAAAAATGGCCAAAGTAAATTAAAAAAAATACAATCAAATTTTCATAAAAATGTTTTCTTAAAAAATTTTATAAACCCTATCTGCAAACAATGATGTTTGAGAGAAACAAACTTTTTTGTTAAAAAAAATGGCATCAAAATACTTTGAAAAATTCAACTTTTATTGAAATATCTATTGATTATTCTTAATGATTGGCACCGCTTACCCGATTATAGCCGAATCAACAATAGCGCGACAGCAATTTATTCTCCTCGGCTTTCAACACCGTTTGGAAAAAACAAACGAAATTTTTAATCAATAGATGAGAGGAGCGGATTGTGGACGGAAACAAATAGGTCCTTGTGACGTATCGTACAACACCAGGTCGAACGTTTTGTCTCAACAAAATCCATATATCTTCTCGGACCCATATCTTGTCGCAGCAAAGCGGGAATTTCAACGAACGTTGGAAAGCTGTAATGCCGGCAGACAGCCAATCGGCTTTCTACTCGACTTGCCTCT